GAACAATGTGCTCCTACCGGCGTCTAAAATTATGCCGCAGCGAACAGACAATACCGGCGATACAATGAAGATCGCGGTATCGTACGGATACCGTTATTACGCGCCGTTTTATACAGGTCACAAACCGGCATAAGGTTTTCCGGGTAATGGAGAACGGATTAGCGGCGATATATGCGTGTGCATTTGACGCGCTGCGCTGCCAGTATATATATTTCGCGCAGCGCTCTGTAAATGTCACTTCTCGTTACGCGTGTCGCATTTATTTACCGTTGACTGTTTGGATGAACAAACTACGGCGAAATTTCTAATGAACTACGTGACAAATTAAACTGTCGGATGACGTCAATGTTATTTGTACGGCTATTATGCGCGCGTTCATTTGTAATACGCAAAGTCTTTTGTACATATAAATGTCTTGTCGGCTTAGACAAATCGGAAAAAGCTGATATTTCCTGAGAGATAAATTGTACCACAAATAGAACGCCGCCGAATAAATTTCGTCGGTTATTTCCTGACGGCTTTGAAATCTCTGCGATATAGCGTGGAATGATTCATACTTGTAATACGGTATCAATGTAGAGATAAGTTCTGGTCTTGACACCTTTGATAGCGATTTTCATGCGCACTCAAACGCACAATCTAATTTCTTTTTGAAACTTCCTATCGAATAACTTTGTTAGTTCATCGTTTTCGGATAAAGCAATCGTCAAACATACAGAAAAATAAAACCCATTTCCCAAAATTCTTCAAGCATTAAACGTTAAGTTCAAAAGAGCATTAGATAAAAAGAATAAAAATTAAACGAAGAAGCTAAAGCTTGAAATTCAAAAAATCAGAGAATTATATATATAAGGATATCAAAAAGGATTTTTAAGAAATTAATCCTTTCAAGTTTTTATAAATCACGAAATCGATAACGCCCTGCGTATACAATGTAAAAAAATTATCAGAAAACCAAAAATATTCGTGCTATTTTTTATATTAAATTTAATATAAAAAAGCCATACGAATTTGTTGCGTGATGGAAGGAGATCGAAGTATACCTTTGTGCAAAGTTAGTGAACTCAAGTTTCAAGTTTCGACAAAATCTACACCCGACACAATCTCTCATAAAGCGTATTTCAAACGTACACGCGTATTAAGTCCGTTCTTACGTTTGTAATCGTAAATACTACTCCTCAATCCTTTACATTATCTTGGCATTTAATCTTCACAGCAAGTCACGCGGTCATGACAGCAAATGTCACAAAAGGTCACGAAGAAATGGATTTTTACAGCAAGCGTCCTTGCGGGCCAGTTAATATTGTCTCGTTCATGTTGAGAGACGCTATCTAATATCCCGTGCATGCTAATCGCTTATTCTAGGAGCTGAGCACCTTTCACTCGTTTCGTGAATCACTACCGAAGCGCGCCGTTAATTAAGTATCGTTTCTCTCCCGCGAGAGAAACGGTGACGTAAATGGCGCGTACCGAGGATCAGTAGCGTCATCCATCAAGAATACCATCTGCCGGGAAGCCTGCGTCGTAAAAACCCGCTAATTTCGCCATTGTCCCGGGAACGAAAAACGTAGAAACCGGCATTTTCTGGGACGGAAAAAATTTTATCGGACTTTTTTCATCTGTCGCGATGTTCATTAATTAATCAATTTAAATATCAAGCCCGGGTTGGGCCGCGAAGTGCACTTAAAATTAATTAAAAGGCAACGATTTACATCTCGCGAGAACGTTGCAAAGGACAAACATTTTTGCTCCACTTCTGCGAATAATTTCAGCCAGATAAAGCTGATGAGCGATCAATATTTGGACAGGACTCTGTATAGCCACACAGATAAATAATTCTTATTCGGGTGCAATAAATTTGGACGACGAGGCGACCGGAATAAAGGATGAAGCAATCCGCTGAACGTGTCGCATCGACTCGCTCACGACTGGTTCGTCCTGTGCGTTAGCACAGATGGACCAGTACAATTGTGGAAGCGCGTGCGATAATCTCGGATATCTCCCCACGCTTTCCAAACTCCGACGTGAGAACGTGAGGATAGCGGTTGCCCCCAGGAGGCATCGTTATCGCAACCCCCTTGTACAATCATCCTGGCCGCCTCGGTCCGTGACGGATCGTTGTTGGCGCGCGTTACAAAACGGCGGCGGCGGCGGCGGCGGCCTTGAAGCGAGTTTCTCCGTGAGAAAGAGACCGGCCGGTGCGAGCTCCCGAACAGCTCTGTACCAGCTTCGAAGACGGATAACGGACGGACAGGTGCGCCGCATTCCTCCAAACGGCACTCCGGCTGCACCGACGATGACGACGATGACGACAGAGTGACTCCTCTCGCTTCGTCCCGTGCGAAACGGATGAAAGAAGAGAGGACAAATACGTGGCGGAATGTTGTGATCGGCCGATCGAATTTCCGCCCATCAGTTCGTACGCGGAACAGCCGACTTGAACAGGCGATCGAGCGAGCGAAATGCCCGAAATCTCGTCCGAAGCGAAAGGTGAACGACATGACGCCTTTGACCCGCCTTGCCGAGAATTCGTGACAGCTAATTTTAAAATCGATCAAGATAAAGAATTTTTTATGTTTCGCGAGTTTTGAATAAGAAAACACGAACTCTACCACTGTTGTAATGAACTCTTCAATCGTCAACTGGGAAATGAGAACGAAAGGGAATTAATAGCGCCGGCGGATAAGTACAATAGCGTTCATTTGCATATTACAATGAAAGCACGAGAGGCACGAAAGGCACGGAGATATGAAAAATTGTCGCGGTATTCACGTCATCGCGTACTTGCAGTCTACAATTAGCATTATTCAAATTTATTGATACGAGAAAAATTGTCGCACAATTCGCAGTCGTTGTTCGCAGTATTTTCGAACGAACAGTCAGTTTTATTGATGGATTATCGGGCAAAAATGCAGTCAATTTATTTTTAAACCGAGACCGTAAAAAGCTTTAACGCCTTGTAAATCCATCAAATAACCGCCGTTTGCAATGAAGATTGCAAAGAGATCGGTAATTTCTATGGTCTTCCACGGGAAACCACAAGTAATTTTCGAGCAAAACAAGTAAACACTGTTTTTAAATCTCGACCGTTTCCTTACAGAGCAGAAAAGAGTGAGCAGTAAAGTTGTGTGTTGTCTATTTTTTTCTCAACTTGATTTTTAGTTCATGGTACAGCGTGGGACAGAGACCTCGGCAACTGACCCGGTTCCGATAGATCGATTTTGGCGCGACGTGTTTCGCGAATCTTTTTTAAATTGCTCGAGTCTTATTTTATTATAAATTGCATTTTGCATGAACAGGCAAAAAACGCGATTTTACGGTGTATCGACGGAGCAGTGAAACTGGAATAATCAATGACATTTCACGGATGAAAGAAATTCTATTTTTGAAACTTCTATTTTTAGAAAGAAACAAAGGATCTCGAATGGATTAAGTTCGGTCCAAGTTCGGATCGAGATCGGAGTTAGTGAAGTTCTAAATAGCATAAGTTAGTGAAGTGGCTCTAAGTAGCGCTCGAAGGCTTCTGCTTAGATCAAACGTGTTATATGAATGAAACGGGGAAGCGGACGACGACGTTTAGCGGTGAATGTGAAGCGGTAATACGAAGTAATGCGACGTTGGACATTTATATACGCGTAAACAACAATAGAGTACATGTGTCCTCCCACATATGTCACAGATGTTTTTTAAGGCGCGAAGCAATGATTTATGGCCGATGAATAAAAACTATAAATTAAATTAGATTATAAATATGAGTGCTATAAAGAAATTTTTAAAATAAATGGATTATCAATTAATTGATATAAACTCTTACGAAATCGCGAGTTTCTAACAAGTGAAAATACTCCTAGCACTTCTTCGTTCATTTCTAGATTTTCTATTTTAATCTTTCTGGACGGAATACTTGTTGTATCAAAGAATTTTCCATACGGAAAAAAATTCAATTTTTTTAATAAGTGTTAATATATGTTCAAATAAAATAGCATTCTATCTCATACTTAAAATTAAAAATCTATTTATTTAAATTGCACGAATGAAATGGAATAAAATAAACGAGCTTTTAACGTATTTTTTTAAAGCAGCTACCAACAACGCGGCAAGAAAAATACGTGGAGTTTGTGTATACATATCAGATTTCTAAAATTGAAATTTTTAATCTTTGGAATCAAAAGCTTTAATGTTTTTTTTTCTACTTATTCTCATCATGCTTTTTACAGAGCGTCTACTAGTAAAACTGGCGCGAGAAAAACGCGGTGTGCAGAATTTCTATTCGTATGTGATCTTGAGAATTCAATTCTTTTTAAATCCTTGAAATCCGAATGGACTTTTAACACTTTTTCCGTCCTGCTATCGTCAGTACATTTGTCGCGCAGCGTGTACGCGCGATTGTAATGCAGCAAGTCTGCGCGAAATTTATGTACATATGTTGGATATGCGAAAGCAGAAAACTTGGAGTATAAATCGAGAAATTGTTCACCGTTGGAATCGGGAATTAGTTTCGGCATTTCCTCATCGAGGAGAAACGAGGGACGTGCGATGCTCGCTGGTGCGTAATCGCAACGCAACGCAACGCAACGCGGCGGGTTGCGCTCGCTCGCGTACCTACTTCGTGGCACCGTTAACGCGAGCCACGCGCCGCGTGTTTCTGGCGGCCTCGTGCGTGTCCGCTCGCGCGCATCTCTCTTTGAAAGGTGTCACTGAAGGGACATCACTCCGTCGCGATTATACATTCCTTGCCGTCGCCGAGGACGTGACCGCCGAGTCGGCTCACCGATAGAGTGAAAATCGCGCTAACGAATCTCGCGTCTCTGTAAATCCACACATGTGCAGGTTCACGCATGCATGCGCACACACTCGCGCGAATGGAGCAACGAGAGAGAGCGACACGTAAGACGAAGGGGAGCCGCTATTCGCGCCACACGTTTGACGCTAAAACGTGGCAAGTGCGCCTTCCACAAACTTTCATCACAGAGATTATGCGTAAAGATCGACCCACTCACGTTTCGCATGATATGTGCTTTTCTCGGCTCGTTAAGTCACGCTGACGAATCGCTCCCGCGCTGATGCGGACTCCTCGATGACACTGGTAGGCGCGGAGGCGCGGGAGTAGAGATTCTGCCGGATTGCTTCTTCTTCGGGAATGAACTTTCCCGGTCCAGGATATTCGCTCTTACAGCGAATCTCGCGGCGGCACCAATACAAGCGCGATCACGCGTTAATTTTAATCAAGCGCCGAATCCGCTCGGCGATAACACCGAGCACGTATGGATGAAAAATTCCAAGACAAATTATCACGAAAGCAGTGCTGCGAGAACCGAGAGCGACGAGACTCTCTTCGAGCGTGCACGGCGAGTACTATAGATTGTACGCGAAGCGACCATGAAGTTGTCTTCGATCTTGCGATAAAAACGATCGCGATGCGTGCCCGGCTGAGAGCGATCGTTACACGTCTCCGGTCTACCTGGTGCCGACTCGGTTCGCCAGCCCGTTCTGTTCGGGATCCGCGCGCCAAGAGTCGCGATCGCACGAGAACGGAGTGGGACGTGGACGTGCAGCGACGACGCGGTGGTGATCGCGCTCTCTCGTCAAGGCGGCTCCGGCTCGATTTGCCCGGCGTTTTTGTCTTGTCGATACGCACCTGCTTCCTCGGCGGCTCGAACTAACGACACGGTACAGCAGTTGAAGGAAGCCCGCGGGCGTGCATGTCGTCCGTCGTCGCACTAAACAGAGGATACGCCTGACATCGCGCGGAATGAGGCGCGCGGCGCGGCGCGGAGCGGAGCGACAAACGCCGAGGTTAGGGCGTCTCGATATGGGGACGACGACACCTGTTCGATGTTTGCGGTGACGTTTCCGGAAGAAAAGTATCGACAGTGGTGTAGGTGTTGCGCGAGCACCGACTGTCCGACAATCGGATATGATACACTGGAGATTATTTGTCAACGCGTTCGCAAGCTGGCGCCACTAGTTTCTTCCATACTTTCTTCCCTGCATTGTTTTATTCGATATTTATCCAGATTTTCCAGGTTAGAATACTAATAAATGCATTTTTATAATATATTATCCAGAGTTTCTCATGTATTAAAATCAGTGTCGATAACATATTTAAATTTTACTTTGCAAAATCGAAAGAAGATATTAATTATTCATATCATTTATTTCTATTGGATTAACTTTAAGATACAATTGAGATAACATTGAAATAATGTTGTATTTCAACACTGTATTAAATATATACTACTTTTCTATGAGCATTTTTATAACTTTTTACGTTTTAATTTTTAATCTCTCCGAGCAACAAATTGAAGTTTCATTAAAATGAATATCAACTTTTTTTTAAATTAATTATAGAATAAAGTTTCTGCAATATTCATATATATACATCCGTATTCCAAGGTATCTATTGCGAAACAGAGAAATCGGTATATGATTAAAAAAATGATTTACGCCAGTTTTATCAACTTTGAAAAATCATGCGCGTCGTGTTTGCACGGATCGCTCGTCAGGTGGCGGCGTCGCTCGGCCGCTATATTGATCAAGTTAGATTTCGCGAGGACGCACGTTGATAAGATCTCGTGTATTTTTCGATCGCACGCAATCCTTCCGCGCGACGTGTGTGTGACATTTGTCACGAGCGCTAGTACTCGCGTGGCGTGAAATTTGGTCGCGCGCGCGGAGCCTCCGCGTTACCGTAGCGGCGTCGCCGTGAAATCCTCCCTCGCCCATGACGTCACTCACGAATTACACAAGCGTCATCGCTCAGTCTGTTGTGGAAAATTTCGTGGGTTCTATGGTGGTGTAGCGGCGAGGTGTGTTGTTTTCTGAACAATAACCCGCGAGTCCTTCGTCAGCGACGCGCGACAATCCTGCGACATCGAATCGCGCGGCGAAATAATTGGCGATAAAAGTGAGCGCTCTACCAATTTTCTCCCGTCCTTTTTTTCTCTTTTCCTTTTAGTATAATCATCATCGTCACCGCGATCGTAATCATTGTTATCAACATCATCGTTGTTGTCACCCTCGTCCGAAAGCTATGCGCGCGCGAAACTACGAAGAGAAATCTCTTCTCGATTATCGCGTGCATTGTTTATTGTTACGTCGTGTGTCTTGATTGTTAGACGTCGTCAACAGCGTCGCCGGAGTTTGAGTACCTCGACGATGCGACATGTCACCTTGCGTGACATTTCACACCTGTGTTACTTTCGCAATTTTTTTCACTGATTCTTTCTGAATAGGCCATTCATGAGACTCTTATTTTTATGAAATGTTTGCGAGCAATTTTGTAGCTACAATTTTTCTTATTTGTACATCATATTTATATTATTTTAAGAAAATATTACTTTAGCAATGAAATTACTTTCAATCTATAAAAAACAGAATTTTAAATATTTGATTTAAGAAAATTAATGTTTTATATAATGAGATGTGTGTTGAATGCTTAAATGTTTTCAAGAAAAACTTGTAAAAACATTATCATATCATACTTGTATCAGTTTTGTTGCTTCATCATTGTGTTGTTTGTGATTTGTAAATATACGTTTTATTAATCTGTATCATAAGACATAATGTTAATTATGTCTTTTTTATGTTACAGTTAAAGTTTACAAAGGATTCTTGTCTACTTTTCACAATGTCTATGCAACAGTTTTGTTTGCGATGGAACAATCATCAACCGAATTTTATCTCGGTTTTCTCCAACTTACTAAATAATGAGACTCTAGTGGACGTTACTCTTGCTGCCGAAGGCAGGCAAATTCAGGCTCACAAAGTTGTACTATCAGCATGCAGCACATACTTTCAATCGCTGTTCACAGTGAATCCTTGTCAGCATCCCATTGTTATACTTAAGGACATCAAGTTTTCTGATCTCAAGATTATGGTAGACTTTATGTATTATGGGGAAGTGAACATATCTCAAGATCAATTGCCATCCATCATAAAGGTGAACTACTTTTTATTTATCTAGAATCAATTTGTTCAATATATACTTGTGAATTGTGATCATTAATATATTGTTTATTTAACAGACAGCGGAGAGTTTAAAGATAAAAGGACTTGCAGAAATGCATACGGCGTCATTAACTAAATGGCCAAGTGGAAGTAGTGAAACAGGCGGAGGAGATCGTGGCGAATCTTGTTCACCCAGTCCATCTCCGTTATCTCCTTCTTTCCGCAGAAAAAGGTTAAGGAAATCTTCTACGGGTTCCACATCCGGCTCGGGTGACAAGCCAGAAGAAATTAATGAAATAACGTTAGTGGCCACCAACATTGTAAAACCAGAACCTCTAATCGTATCACAGGAAAGTGGAGAAAATTTGAGGCGACCAGTAAATACAAGCACAGAATCTCAAGGCAGTATTGACGAAGATCAAATATCAATTGTAAGTAAGATGTGACATAATATTATTGCATTTAATCATAATTTGAATAAATATAAAAAATATATAAATTTAATTGTTTAAGTTTTTGTAGTTCTGAAACAAATTTAATACACATGTTAACGAAAAATATTGTAAAGCTAAAAAATATCCCAATAACATATAATATTTCTACCTAGATGAGTAATATGGAAACTAGTTCTGCCAATACACCAGCCCAAAGTGATGGTTCTATTCAGGACGTAAGTCAACAGTCGGCAGGAAATATTGCACAAAGTTCTGTTTCTTCACAAGCACCTGTTCATCAAGGTAAGATATCGCTTTATGCTATTTTAGATAGAAATCTCCAAAAAATATCTAATCGCTCAAATGGCATTACTTATTGCAATAATGTAATTTTATTTGCTGTATATTATGTGCATAGAAAAAAGAATTATCATATATCTCAAGAAGTAATGCAATTATTTTTACTATTTTTGTTTTTAATCTACATGTCTCATAATTTTGTACATGGATGTGAATTGAATTTTACATATAGATAATTATTTAAATAATATGTTTCCTCAAATATTGAAAGAATATCTTTTGAATTTTTTGTGTAGAATATTATAATTTGCTTATTTAAAATGTGCTATTTATTTTATTAATTATATGCTATAAAAATGATTTTTTTTCATACACATAGCTTAATAAAATATATATTGTTTTTTGATATCTTTTATGTATATATATTATATTCAAAGTACTGATTTCTATATAATATTACTAGTTTGGATATTTCATAAGTCAGATAAGAATATATACAAAAAATTAATATAAAACACGATACATACGATATATTAAAATTAACAAAGAAAGGTATTTTACTAGTCTTACATCTTTCAAAAATATATAAATTTTGAACTACATATTTTAATTTTATTAAATTCAAATTAAGAGAGAGAAAGCTGTATATGAAAATGTAGATTATGTATATTTGAATCTGATTATCAGACAGGCATTTAATTTTTTCTGTCTTTATAAGATAAGCCAATTCGATAGAATCATCGATTATATAACAGATTGATTGATATGATATTAGTAATCTAAAGGACGATGTAGCATATAGACATAATGATATGAGAATTGGAAGACATAGTGTTTAATTTCCTAAGATATGTTACGCGCGAACAGTTAGCTACGTTATATATTTAATATGATTTTTTAGTAGACTGTATATTGTGCATTGATATAGAACGATTCGGCAACTTGGGCAAATGCATGACAGCTCCCCTTTAAGCAAACATCTCCGATAATTGTTATTTTAATTATGCATACTGATTGTGGTGGGTATTTAAATTGCATGTCGATAAGCGAAATTACACACATTATATGCTGGCACAGATGCGTTTAAATGTATTGCACAAGGACAATCAACAGACGTTTGACATGAAAATAGAGCGAAATTTCAGGAATTGAAATTCTAATAATGCGAATGTGCAAAGAAAAGATTGTTTCTCACTCATGAAAGAATGTCACCATGGTACACAGATACATAGCACACAATATGTTATATATCTCCGGAAGGATAGTATATCGGGCCTTTGACATATTAACGGAGTGTGTATGTGTGCCTTATAATACTCTGCCCTATAAATGTAGCATAAATGCCGTACATATATATTTGAAATAAGTTTCGAAACAACGATGTGCTTCAAAATGTATCTGTGCCATGCCGCAACTCCATATTTAATACGCTCATCGTTTCTTCACAAGATTTTATTTTTAATATCTATCATCTTTCGCTTACTTAGCTTAGTATTGTTTTTCTATCATAGAATAAATCATAGAATAAATTATTTTCTTTTGATTAGATTATAATTATATTTATATAAGCCTTGTTTTTTTTTTTATACGAACAGATACGCTGATACATTATTCGTTATTATTTTTATCGTTAAAATTACATTATTGGTGACATAATGTAATAAAAATTATATCTTCAATTGACGTTATTACCACACGTATTCGTAATGCAAGAGTAAAATAAAATTTTTTGAAACATTAATTATTTTATATTTGTAATTTATTACAACTTGGGCGATCGTAAAAGACTTTCGCATCGATGCACATTTATAAGTATAGATCGAAATCAAGTATTCTGATTTTTATCTGTTTATTTTTATAATATTTTCCAATATTGCGATCATATATATATATATATATTTTTATTTGATCACTTTTATCTTTGCCGTAAATGCAAAATATCAGCGGGTTGATAATTCCTGTGCTCTGACCAAAAATCAATCGGTCTGTTCTACAGGATTACAATGGACTATTATGGAGCACACATATCATCCACGTTTCGCTCTGTCCTCGTGTCAAACGAATCTGTCGATCCAAGCGTCGTCGGCGTTTACGACGCCCGAAATAACAGCATCCTCGACCATCAGCGATCAGTACTCTGGTACCAGCACGACTGGTTCCAGTTGCGCCCTGACGAACTATCCGAACTCCTCCCACGGGACGTTGCAGCACGTGTCGTCGGGCGGCCCCTCGCCATCGACGCAGTGCCCCAGTAACTGCCAGAGCCCGTGCGCCAGCCCGCAGACGGCGATTAAGAGGAAGCGCTCGACTAATCCACAAGCGGACGAGAATTTTATACGCGCGCTCGACGCAGTGCGCTACGGCGGCATAGGGTTTTGCAAGGCGGCCAGGATGTTCGGCGTGAACAACCGAACACTCTGGCTCGAGTACAAGAAGCGCGGCTACCCGAACAATCGGCCCAGCCTCAAGTCCCGCGTTAAGCAGGAGGTGAACTCCTCGCCGCCGCCCTCGGCGCCCCCGGCGCAGCCGATGAACTCGCAAAGCCCGACGCCGATGGGCCCGCCGACGACCCCGCACAGCACACACAATACACACAGCACGCACACCATGCTAACCAGTCACAGTCCCCACACGATGCTGAGCGGGTACATCGACAGCAGGCATACGGACTACGCGCTACCGAGCACCACGATGCCGATCAATCTGCACGGCGTTAACTACAATGCCATGTGAACTGAATCCTATCCGGAGAGTCACTTGTATAGACGAGCTTGAGAAATATTACTTCCCCTCCTCTTCCTCGCTCCTCGTGTACAACTCAACCCGCCCCTACCGCGACTCCTCTGTCAACAGTAACGAGGCGTTGGAAGTCATCAAAGTGAGAAACGCCGCGTGCGGTATCTTTAATTTTTAAATACCTTTCCGCCTAGTTCTACATACTCCCCCCTCCCCCCTTTTAAGTAATTGGATCTCAAAGTTAGAGTATATATTTTATATTTGTATAGGGTTTATCAGATGATTCGCATTTTTTTCCTAATTATTTTTCTCACCGAAAATGTTGTTGAAACTTAAAATCTTAATCACAATTTATTAAAAGGTTCGGCTCATGAAAAATTAAAATAATAAAACAAAGGAGGATCAAGAGCCAATGCAGAGTTTTGGTTGCAATGTTAAAATCTTCTTTTACTCAAAGTGTTGAATGGTATACGTTTCGGTCGAACTTTCAACCATCTTCAGTACATTTAAGTCTTAATACATGACAAAATCAAGTCTTAAAAAATAGCTTCAATAGCGCAGTCATACAATAATTTGATCAGTTCCAATGAAAAAGTTTGAAAGGACGCCCATAATGCAACAATCAAGTAGATGTCGTCAACCAGAACTACGGTGGATTTTGTTGTGTATTAAAACTTAAATGTACTGAAGATGGTTGAAAGTTCGACCGAAACGTATACCATTCAACACTTTGAATAAAAGAAGATTTTAACATTGCAACCAAAACCCTACATTGGCTCTTGATCCTCCTTTGTTTTATTATTTTAAAATCTTAATTTTTTTTTATGTTTATAATCAAATTAATTTAATTAATAATAAATTAAAATCTCATGTTTAAATTTATTTATTAAATTTATTTATTAAATTTATTGATTAAGAATAAGTTTTTGTATGTTACACTATTTTATATGAGCTCTTTAAAAGTTTTGCTGAAAAAGAATTGGGTTATTAATTTTTTTCAGATATTGCAAAATGTGCGACTTTTGATACCCCATACTTGTGTAGCTTGATATTAAGTTATTTGAACTAGATTTCTATTTATAAGATATATTTCTTAATCTTTTTGCTACGAAGGTCATATATATCCGTCCTCTAAAAGTGGATCTTTTAAAAGTGGATACGATGGCCGGATATATCTATTCTCCAAAGACGACATTCATGTACGAAGGCCAAAAACTGTATATCAACTTTCAACAATTATTTTTCTATTCGATAAAGTGAAAATGCTATTGTATAGTCTCGTGTTTCGGAATTATCACCCAATCATCGATTATTGAGTTTATTATTTATATAAAACTGCATATAATGTTACAAGTGTAAAGAAAATATTAAAATAAACATGTGATACTCATAAAATGTTTTTAATAACTACAATAAGCCACTATAATGAAATTTCCGTCGAAAGGTGAACGCAGTATTAGCGCCGTATACGTGCATGAACAGTGATTATTGTGTCCCGTACACATTGTCATCTTTAAGCGCTTCGTAGCGAAAAGATTAAGTGTTTTTGTTCTTATACTTTTCGCAATATTTCTTTATTGACGCATAATTGAGACTAAAATGTTTATAATGTGATAAATGAGCGGATTTGTAGCTATGAGTATAAAACATTTGCACACATTCACTTGTCAGCAACTTTTGATAATTATGGCGTATTATCGAAAGTTCTTAGCTTTCCGTTGTGTATCCTCTGATATTATATAATTATTATATTAGTAAAAATTTCAGTATGTAGATTGATGCAATTTTAGTGCTTTGATAATTAGAACATTGCGGCGCTGGTAATAATGAAACTATGCCGCTACGTCGATCGTACGAGAATAAATCGATAATTAACGACGAAGTTTGTATTATTTTCAAGTTCACTGTAGCAATGATACGCATTTTGCCGTCAATTATTGACTGATTCTCGTCCATCGTATACCTTTGTACATAAAACGTGAAAAAAAAAAACATGATTAGAAATGTCGTCATCTGTATTTGCACACGTGTGTCGATACGTTGTACGAGATTAAACATTATGCACACATGGAGATAAATTATCAATACATGTATTACAATTATTAATTGTTACTATGTTGATAAATATATGAGAACTAACATAGAATTTTTAGAGATATACATTTTCCTCTATACATGAGAGATTTGTTTAACTTTTTGTGTTCTTCACGTTATATGTTTGTTATATATTATAATAGTATTATTTCGCTATTATCACTTTTTCTCCAATATCTGCAAATATTTATCCATTTGTTTCTGTAAACAACTGGAAAATTATTTTGAGAATTTTGGGAATGTTTGTGAATAATTATGCAAACAAATGCAATTATTCCATATATCAAATGTTTCAAATTGGTACAAACTTTGTGCAAATAGTTTTATTATTTTGAAACGAAAAATTAAGTTTATGAGAAAATATGTTCAGTTTGAAAAGAAAAGCAATTATATAATGAATATACACTAATGCTATTCTTTATGTGTTTCTGTTACGTTTAATTGTTTATAATTATAATGATTTATTATTCAAGAATTTTCAATGAAATATAATAAATACGTGAGAGAAAAACAAATATAGTCTTGATTTTGATTTGCAATTAAAAATAGAACACGCATTGAAGTGTTACGAAGATTTGTGTTTTCGACTTATCGTATGTATAGGAACAACTTTTATTTATTATAGTATTTGTTGTGTACATTTAATAATTAAACTATCAGAACAGCAAAGTAATGCATGTATTGAACACAAAAGAATGTGAACGCTTGAGATAACTCGAAAGATATTTTGTATTTTCTCTACCTTTATTTGTTTTTATAAATTAAGAAGACTTCCTCACAAGTGAAATGAAAATGACCTGGCTTTTCTGCAAGGAATGAGAAATATACATTTGAGTGATTAAAAATTAGAAATTAGTCTTTAATAGTACCATAGCCGTTAATTGCACTGTTAATAAACATTTATATATCCCTTATATAAACGATTAAAAAATAATTCTGAAGGAATAAAAATTATTCTAACAGTTTGCAACAGAAAAGGGAGTGCTGTGTTTATTTCTTTTAAACGTTTCAAAACCTTTTCTTTATTAATGACTTGAGCGAATAGTCGATATTACCTAACGTTATAATATTAGTCCTTTATTTCTCTGCGAAGATAATTACAAGATGTGTACAATTGAAGAAGAAGTAATCATAGTGATCGAAATATGGCGACTTCAAGTACGATTGTAATGATAGTTTTTCTTGCAACTTGTACAATATTTATCCGCAACAACTGTATTTGTTTGATATTGTTAATTTTTTTTACGCATTAATAGTCGATGTATATGTGCGAACAAGGTTTCCAACGTTAAGTTTCAGTAATTCTTTCTTGACACAAGATATCAATCTGTTGTATAATAAAAGCCAATATCACTTTGCACTTGTAACATCCAATCTCAAACGTTGACGATGCCTCGATTTTCGTCGCCGCAGTTTCTAATGTTCTAAAAAGTTCTTCTAAAGTTTCTTTATTTATTATTATAGTTCTTCATTGCAAGCAGACGCAAGCAACGAAGAGGACCCGGCTGCTCATCAGACAGACGCGAGTGAAGAAGGAGCCGAGTCACTTGTCGCCGGACAGCGAGACGAGCACATCACCGCACATCGTCTCGACCTCCGTCCATCTCGCGACGCCGACGCTGAATCTTCCGCAAACGTCGAGGAGCTTCGAGGAATCGCGTATTTCGCCGCCACCGCACACCATGCTGGTGAATCAGCCGAATCTGCTGACGGTGACGACGTCGCCGAATCTGTTGACGGTGCCACAGCCGTCTTACTTGACGAAGCAACACTCGCATCCGTTGCTGTCTAGTCAACAGCCGAGCACGTCCGGAACTTACTGGATACACCGACAGCACTTGCATCCGGAATTGCCCGGTAGAACCACAAGTCCCTCGATAGTAATCGAGCCGGCACCTGTCCTTAAAACGGAGGACGAGGGAAGCGAGGAAGCACCGACAACTCCGACAACTATTACTTCCGAGCCAGGAACCAGCGGCGGCGGCGGCACTTCCGGTGGATTGAGAGTGAAGACAGAGCTGCGACGGACTTCCTCATCGCCGCAGGTAGGATATCAAACGCGTGTTGCATTATCGTAATCTATTCACTATTATTATAGTGAACAGTCCCGTGAAATTTCCGTCAAGATAGTTGTCTCGTAAAATGAATTTCTTACAAATTGATCCTGCGATAAAAAGAATTTACCGTTCAGAAGCTGAGATAATTGCAATTGTTATTGGTACTTTTATTTCTAGCTATCAGCTTGTAGCATTCTATCGATTACGAATTAAAATACTAGAATTTGCGCAGTATAATTTATGGAATTTATCAGAATATTAAACTTTGATATTTACTCATTATCTTTTTCCTTCTTTATCTTTATTATTATTAAATTTTAATTTAATTTAATTTTTGCTTACAGACGAGCAGCAGAGACTTTCGCGAAAGCACGGGGGATCAACGATTAGGCCATTGTCCTGTATTGCGTGAAGGTCCTGCCTTAGGCTGCAATCATTGTTGGAACACAATAGACGACCATGGTAGAATACTCCGTAGGAAAACCAAGTATCACTGTCCCGAATGTCAGATTAATTTGTGCATTGTGCCCTGTTTTCAAGAATACCACGAGCAGCGACGCGAGCTGATTTCCAAGCTTAAGCCCTTACCAAAAACTAGCTCCGTTTAATTTCCCTATTTATTATGTACTTCTTTTCAAAGGTAATTGTTACCTATTGGATTAGGTATGTGTGAGCACGCGCTTTAAATGTGTGACGGTATGACCTGACAATGACGGAGTAACACGGGTCCATCGTTAGCGTGTACACGTTACTTTTACCGATTAGTGCGAGAGTCATCAGATTTATGATTTTTTTTTTTTATCGCATTTGACAAAAAATTTCATGACTTTATATTTTCGCATATTCATTTCATATCACATATTTTATAAATATGATTTTTTCATGTTATATTGTTTTTTTTTTTACATATTTAACACATTTATAATGTTAATAACTGTTAAAGTAGACGAAATTATTTTGCAGTTTCGCAGCATGACAGTGGGGCACGCAATTTTATAATTTATAATTTTATAATTTTGTGTGCATCAGATTTTTTCTTTTCTTATCTTTTTACTGATGTAATTTTTACATATTTATTGCAAAGATATTTATTTTACGAAATTTTGAATTATGTGTATCAAGAATAAGGAGTTTACTTTGAAATTATGGAAACAATTAATTTTGATATAAGACGTCAGAAAAGTTAGTTTTTTTTTTTAATTTTATAAAGTTAATCGCGAAAGGGATGTGTCAAGATTGGACAGAGCTCGAAAATATATAAATTATATAATTCTTTATTATTATTTTTATACGATAACAGTAATATATATATATATATATATAATAATATTTACTTAATAATTATTTTTAAATTATTTTGTATCAGTTCTTTTTTTACTTTTATTATTATATAACAAATTTAATTAAATACATTAGTGCGCACTGGTGCACTTTAATGTTTATACATAAAAGTTGAACATTCAGCGTATCTACATAAAAACGTAAAATATACACACTGTGCAAATGAACAATGAACGAACAGCGAGTAAAAAATAAAATTTATAAGATTTTTGCAGCCGCATAGAAAAACGAAGCAAACATTAATGAATGTTCTGTTTGCATTTATTATGATTTAAATTTAAAGTTTTGAAGAATTACGTATCTCGAGTAATGTGATACATTGTAATACGTATTTGTATTACGTTGAAACGAGTGGTTCTTTATATTCGAAAAAGATTTTAAATTCTTCCATGCAGCGAAGTTTTAATTTGACATCGATATTCGTCACGATGTAAAAATTATTAACGAATTCGATTGGTTGCATTAGTGCGCAGTAGTGCAAATTAAAGCCCATCAGTTTATCTGAGTTGATAGATTTTTTTATTCAAGGCGTTTCCTAATATATAGATGTAATTTCAGGGATGAATTCAATGTGTAAAAATAATAAAACTAATTTACATGAACATTTGTGCTGTTCGATCTCGCTTATGAGATATAAAATTATTGTGCCTAGTTTTTGCGCGTTTTAATTTATCTCTGAAGTTAGCTTCATATATCTGGAAACAAACTTTCTATGGTGTGCATTTTTGGCTTTGCATGTGTTACTCGCATGATTTAACATATTTAATTTCCCGAGTTTTTCCATCTTTCGTCCAATCACGTTGTGTTGCATGATTTCATCAAAGTAGGATCCTTTCATACTGTATTTTCTATTTCTCTCTTTCGTATGCGAATGCATCGAGATAATAATTTTTCTCGACAGCGACACGCAAACACTAATTTTAGAGGCCATGAATTGCGAGACGGAATTGCGAAAAAAAAAAAAAGAAGAGAGAGAGAACCGGCGGGAAACGGGCGCGATGGCTGCTAAAACGAGAGCTTTAGCGCACGTGCAACGATCGAATTCGGTGTACCCTTATAAATCACTTCCTACCATTCGCAGCTCTCCCCTATTGCCACCTGTAACGGCGCCCCGCCGTTAATGCGTCCGCGTAAATTTGTCGTCGTACGCTCCACGATCAATCGAAACGCGGAATACGCGCGTCTCTTATTATCTTAGTACGCGAATTTTAGGATTAAAAAAAAGAATAGTACAAGCGAGGACCTTGCTATGTATTATGTGTTTGTTATCCCATGTCTTCTATTTAACGTACGTCAAGTTTCCTGAAATCAAAATTGTGCCACGGCTGTCGTATTGTGAAACAGCGACACACGCTGTTTTTTTAATTCGTAAATGGTTAAAGCGAGAAAAAGATTTGAATAAAAAATGTATGTTCGTAACAAATTAAAAGCTTTTGTTACTTTTGATACTTATTTTAAAAAAATTTAATGATTTTAGTATATATCAAAATTATTAACGTTGTAGATCATACAATTGTTCCTTAAATCGGACTTCTTTCATTAAAAAAGTGTTGTCAGAAGATGTTTGACAATAAAACAAAATATTCAATGTATTGCGCACTACATTTTTTATTTGAAGCTTTTTTTCTATTCTACTTTGTGATTTGTAAGCGAAGAAAATTTACTTCCGCCAACGAGGCTTTCCGTCACCGCCGAAACACAGTTTTGATTTCGACAAGAATTCTCGTGGAACATTTTAATCAGATTTCTCCGCTTGTACTAATTTTCTTTTTTCACTTTGGGCCAATTTTCGCGCGAAACTTGCGCACTGTTTGTCTCTCCAATCTAAAATCTCTGAGTATTTTGTATATGTGTCTCGTGCATTTATCGCGGAAGAGCGTCGAAAGTCGCGACATATGTCGCGAACGAAACAGGATGGCGGTAGAAGTGACTGAAGATTTTCTCCTCGGGGGAGAAAAGTCGTCGTGATGGATTAGGACTGGATTCGCTCCGGCCATTTCGATAAATCACGATTTGCGAGGCGGACAGGCGAGAATTCTCGTCGCGATCTGCGTTCCCCCAGAAATTTCCTCGCGAGCGGCACCGAGCATGTTCGCGCACTTTGTATATGTAAAGTGTTGAAAAATGTAGAATACGTGCAATATATTTTTCTCGGCATTACAGATGTATTATACGCAAGCGTTGCATCGATTAATCATATTTTATGTAAATCTAGCCTGAAATTCGTAAATTAAAATAAAATAATGTGAGATCACACAATGACGCCGATTAATTCCACCCACACTGGACGATTCTGCGCTCTCGATCCGACGCAAAGTTATTTTTTACTTGCAGTTGTACTTTACGATGACCTATGATGTATTATTGCGCGCTCTCGACATTAACATTTAACGAATTATTTGATTTATGTCGTTTGAAAAAAGCGGCCATCGCTGATCGCTACAAACGAATCGTTATCAAATTGCGTTACACGAAATTGTCATTATTATTTTATTTCGAGTGTGCGAAATTCTCGGCATCGAATTATCGTTGCCCTCCCTGACTCGGTTCTTTTTTTCTTTTTTTTTTTTTGTCACGTTGGAGGTCTGCAAGGTCTGGAGAGAAGCAAGAGTGATCGCGGACGATGAAAGAAATCGCTGCTGGGGCTTCTTTCTCCGCCACACGTGGCCCGCCGAATCTTCGAGCAAATCGTTGCTCGTAATAAATCCGCGAAGGGTCGACTTTTTCCGCAGGTCTCCGTTCGCCGGCAGGAATCCGCGGGATATGGGGTCAGCCGTTTCTTCTGCGCGCAAGCTGACGCCACCACCGCCGCCGCCGCCGTCGTCGTAACGGTAGTAACCCCTCGTCGCATAACGCGCGACGGAAGAGCCGTCATCTTGGATCCCCCAAAAGCCACGGCGATATTGTACGCGCAGCCGGTGCGCCCCGTCGACAGCTGGACCCCTCGTCTCTGGCCGCTCGCTGGGGATCGTCTCTCTTGGCAGAAACGAAAAGTCACGGAGCGCTACGCGCGGATTAATCGCCGGCAACCCCCCCGATACATGGATCGTCCGTTCGTAGGAGGTTGATCTTGTTACGGCGAAAGCGCATTATGCGCGATCCGCGGCAAAGTCAACGGACACGCTTGTTATTCGCGTTTTGCGCACCGATGCCTTCTCCACGAGTCCCTGACGCGGCGGTAAAACGCTTCGCAGATGGACACTTAATTAATATTGGAAAAAAGAAAATTAATCAAGATTTGATAAACGGAGAAAGTAAAATAAAACTGCATTCGGTTAGATTATTTCTTTTCAATAAAATTATCTATTGATGAACGTAATAAATAGAAATGGAAGTGATATTTAATCATAGACTTTGAAATGTGATATTTCGATATAAATCGATAAATCGATGTAAACTCAAATTTTGCTAAACAAAACTAAATGTTTAAGTTGTCCAAAAAGATCATCTGGGATTTTAAAATTTTACCTGTGTTCGATGATATATAAGCTAAATTTTAACAAGTTGTGCAACAATTGACTCAAGTTTGTTTGAGTGATATTTATATAAATCCAGAAAAGTTTCAAACAATAGTTAAGAAGATTGAGCGGGAATTACTTAATGCCTTTTTAAGTCATATTTAATTCCCCCTATTTCCTGCTGCATAATCGCATTATATTAGTGTAGGGTCTGCGCTTTGCCCCCTTTCTCATCCCGGTGCATCGTTTTGTTCCTCTTCTTGTATAGATGCAGGGCGGAAACTAGTGATATCGTATTGTGATGCAATGCACCGTAGAAAAAGGAGCAAGCATTTGCATTTTCGAAAGCGTCTGGCAAAGGCAAACATGTTGATTTGTTATACATAAAAATGCCATCTTTAACAAAAAATAGAATACCATTTAAAAAAATGAAGAAAAAAAAAAGATTTAACATCATTTCTGACATAATTGGTAGTAATTAACTGAAGCTATAAATACCTGTTTATAAGTGCAAATTATAAGTAAAGAGCAGGCTTTGTTTGACAACGTAGCAATTATCAAGCTCAAAGATGTCTTGCGACGACGCCACGAAGAAACATTATGGACAAAGGATTCCTCATTTGCAAGAGAATAATACAAAATATTTGTTACTCTTCGTGAAGACGTTTTGCGTAACAGACGTGAAAAGAAACTTTATAGCAGACTTTAGAAACGTAATAATAAGAGACAAATACAAATTATCTCAATACTGTTATCATACAATTATATTATTAATAAATTTTTTTCACGTTTGGCTTTTTGGAACCAGCAAAAGCGTAACAAGAAAAATACAAAATATGTGATATAATTAATTATAAAAATATTTTTATTAGTATAAAATATTCTAACAGATTTATAAGTAATAATGCTATTAAAATTATAATATATATTAGATAAAGTTACTTGTTATTCGCAATAAAACGTTACACGGTGTCTGATTATTATTGAATAAAATTTTAGTAAATTTTTAAATATTTGCACGATATTCTTACGATATTAACGGTAGTTTCATCTTTTTCATTGATCGTTGATTTCTTATTCTAATTTAATTTCCTAACATCTACTTATTTTTTAATGAAACGTTTTATTGTATCGAAATAATGAATAATGTGCTTTTATAATAACATAATAAATAATCCATTTGACGAAAAATATAAAAGTAAATTTTTTTCTAAAATTAGTTATTCATAAATTATGTAAGTTTAAGTAATATTAATACAATAAAAATGACATCTGTTACTACCATTATTAATATTTGTGTATTATTCTAATTTAATAGAAATAAAGTATTAAAAATAATTATAGTTACCTAACACACGTTGTCACAGTTGCAGGAGTGAAGTCTTCGATCGATCGATGAAAAAATATTACGATAAAAATACCTGCTTGGGCGAAGGAAGAAACAAATCTTGAGATGAAGGAGTAGAGCGAAGATAGAAGCGCAGAACGAATTGTAGGCGACGACGAGATCATGAATAAATGTTATCCCTGATAAAGGACACTTAATTTACGCGAAACATTAACATTGAATGAACTTTATCTGTATTCGGAAGTTCGGGCCAAGAGTTGGCGTTTAAGTAAGATAAGGTTAAAGGTTATTGTTCGCGAAGAACAGTAAAAGAGGCTTCGCGACGGCGAAGCCATGCGAGTCCTCGCAGCTCCGCCCTCGGTGCCTTTGATATTCCACCCCCGATCAGCTGACATGCGCGCTGAGGATATTTGATAAGGGTGCTCAACCGCCCGTCACAGTGATCGCTTTGTGCATGCATATGCATGCGATCGATAGAGGATACAGGTATTTTCGGATCGAAGGCGTCTCGTATTATTAAGCGGTGATAACATGTTACGATCTATGATAATCGCGAAAGTAATCAGCTGAGTAATAATGTGGACTGGAGTTCGCATCTTTTATTTCATTTAGTATTTTTGAAAACTGCGTTATAATAAATGTAACGTATTTTTTGTTGTAAGTAAAGTTGTTATTATTTTTTCTTCAATAAAGCAAAGGAGAATCCAATAATTGCAGTTAAATGTATTCTTATTTTTTGTTGTTTTGAATTTTTGGGAATATACGATATTTTAAAACTATATCATAAATTAATATCAAAAGAAATGAGTATATATGATATTAGTAATCACAATTCTAACGAAACAAATGTATGACATTAGGTTTTTATTTGTACAGTTTTTCACTTTGTTATTTCTAATTTTGCTTTAATTTACATTTACGTTTATTTTCACAAGCTCCAACTATTCTAAAAGTATAAACTATTGAGGAAATGTTTATTTATCTTAGATTTTATCTACGCATCGATTATTATTGTATTCAGGCTCTTTAATGCTTTTGTTTCTCAATATTCTATAAACAATGTTGGGAAAACGTCATCATAGATACGTTAATGTTCCGCGATGAAATTGCAAGCGCGATAAGTCATGCTGTAATATCTCGGCAAGTCAATAAATCAATTGCCCGTAGCTCTTTGAACGGAACATTAGGAATCTGTAAAGCGCCGTGTGGACACAGCTGACAAGTCGCGGCGATTACCCTCGCAATACTAACGCGCTATTACACAGTTTTAATATTGACATTACTATCGATTAGCTGTACCGGCCTGGTTCGTCAAATCGTACGTCCGAATGCACGTGCTCGCGTTTCCGTCATACATCTCTATCCGAGACAAGATTAATATTGAAACAAACATCTATGCAAGTCAAGTGCATCAAATGCAGTTGGAAAGTATAACTTAAAAATAATACGTAATTTTAATGTTAATGTTACATTTTTTAATGGAATCCTTTGATCATTTTTTAATTAAATACGTTTAAACGTGATTGTTCAGAGATGATGATCGTTATAATATCACAGTCGCGTAAAAACTCTTTATAATTTTCAGTTTTATTATAAGTAGTATATTTTAAACTATGTAATATTTTATTTTAGCAAGTGGAATATTGTTTGATAATAATAATATTAACTTACTGACAATTTTTTCATTTTTTCAATATAAGTACTTGTATATTGCAAAATATATTACACTTTTGTTTAATTTCTATTTATTTACATGCAATAGAAAATTGGTAAACAGATAATTGTTTTTTTATATACCACAAATTTTTTTGTCACTAATATTACAAGATAGATAATTCTTTTTCATCGAAGACACTTCTTCAAATACTTCTGCTTTACGTCTCGACAGGTGCGTCTAGAAAAATTTGCCAAGCATCTATAATCAAACTTACTGTTATTTGATTGTGATTTACAGAGATATGTGGCTAGTACGAATAAGCATTAGACATCACCCTTTCCTCGCAAAGGAGAGAACACATTGGCCGTTATAACGCATCGTCGAGCCTATAGAAATAAATCCTACTCTCACGAATTCTATACAATACGTATGGTGCGCTCTTCGCACGAGTGATCCACCATTACTACCATTCACGCAGGAAGCCTCTCTGTGTTTGACCACAAACTGTTTTAATCCCACTGTTACTCCTATTTGCGTTTTCAAATCGTTGAGCAGTCGTATGCACGTCCGCACGTGAAAACGCTCACTCGTTATGTGTGTATTTATGCCCGTAAGTGGCAATTGATCGATCAATTGGCGGGAAAACTTTTTATATCATCGAAAAGTGCAGTCAAGCTGCAGAGAATTTATATTTTACAAATGTATGTGGCAATTCACATAACGGCACACATGTTTCTTGGCTTCTTTAATCTTGCGTTTACTATTCAGCCCTAACTGAATGCATTTATGTACCTAGTTTTAATATAAATTACAAAATTTATTTATAAAATAATTTTTTATCGTTGTACGATATTTCGCCACATATATTATAAAATTATACGATTCTATTTTCGGTACTAAAAAAAAAAGTCGATTTATCGTATAATAAATGAATCATATATGTTTTAGAAATACAGAACAATTTAATTTAATTTTACTTTCATAACGTGATAAAGAATTTTATTAAAACTTATCGATATACATAATGTTTCAAATTAAACAAAAAATATTTTATTTCAAAAATTCTTTGATAAATTTGGAGTTGATATTTTCTTAATACATTTTACCTTGCAACGCTTATTCATTTGAAATTTCTCTCATTTGACACAATAAAACTTCATTATGCCGTGTTTTATGAATATTACGCTCATAAATATCAAGTTCACATATTTATCTTTTTAGAATTTTATTTTTTTTATCATAATTTTATTCATGACATAAATTGTTGCATAAGTTAATTACAAAATTATAATTCATAAACTGAGTCTTCGATTGGCGTATCGTGGTTTTTGCGGAGCTTCTGCGATTCTTTTGAAATTCCTTCAAGCGCTCAATGAAATATTCATCCGATCGAACGCCATTTATCGTAATTATCGTCTATGAAGATTGCAATTATTTTTGCGTCAACGTTGAACTGAATTTTTCCCGGCCGAAATTTTACCGGGCCCGATGTCTCTAAGTGTCCTTACGATCTTTGCTTTACCCAATATCTTCTTGGCTCCGCGCGCTCACCAGGTCCTTCTACTGCGACGTTTAGCTTTCCTGTGGTGGGGGTACTTTTATTAAAACTCCCGTCAATAGTGCGGTGAGGAGGAGCAGAGGAGAGGGAGACTCCTACTACAGGACGAGGCTTGCGCTTTATACAATGCTACAGCACAGCCTAGAGCCCAAGGACCGAAAGAGATTCGCAGAAATATTCGCGCGTCTCTCTCGCAATTTTCCTACGATTTTCTTGTGATTCTTTTTTCGACATTTTGCGACTGAATTTATTTCCGCGAAAACGAGCGGCCTGATGTCTTTCATGAGACGATCAGTTAAATTAACTGTACAGCGTAGAGTAAATCAGAAGAATTTTCATATTTAAAAAAAAAATAAGACTAAAGAGGAAAATGGCAAATTTTTGTTGAGATAACGCTGTGATAATTTAATTTATTACAACTCATAAAAATTGCTGAGATGGAAATATGTATTATTAATTTTTCCTAATTAACTGTCAATATTGCTGATGCTTAAACTGTTGTAATTAACTTTTAATATAGTTTATTGCGTTTTAGAAATCTCCTGGTATTTTGAAGGGCAATACATTTTTATGCAAACGTCACACTATCGCCAACTAGCATTTTACTTTTATTATCCAATAAAATTAATCCGTAATCTTCGAGTCTGTAAATTGACATTTCTTATTGATTTCACTGGCATACGTGGGATTTATTACTGTAACGAAAATATTATTAAAGACCGTACGTACGTTATTTCATGTCTGTTTTCGCGTTATGAAACATCCCGTGACGAACGAAGATGGCAGACGTATATTTTACACGCTCTCCTTGTCTGGTTTTTAATTAAAGTTTGTAGGATACTCGAAAGGATAAAAGCTCAGATGTTGATCCTCTTACACATCGGCTGACATCGCACTCGAAAGAACCAAGATACTCTCGCAGTTTATCCCACGCGTTAACAGTTTCCCAAGCAAACGTCACTTCTCGAAACTGAGGAAAACGCATTTTCGAACGGATATTGATCATCGCCGAATCGTGATTGCAATAAATCAATGAATCAAAGATAATATTCGACGGTACTTTCGTTGCGGCGAATAAAATGACGAAGATAAATCCGACAAATAATAGATCTTAATACTTTCTCGATTGACATGATTATAAACAGCAAGCACAGGTAAAACATATAATTTGTGTAATAATATTAACAATAATTCTAAATTTATGTTTTGCTATCGTATTTTAATATTAAACATTTAATGAATAAATGTTTCATACTTCTGATCAGCGTCTTACGAAAGTCTTATAATAATCTTGAAAATAAACAATTAAAGCTTTCCATGCAAATATAATGGACAAATTTCGCAGGTTCTACTTTTTTTAGACGTTTAGAAACTTACATGCGTAAAAGTATCATTCCTCCAGCAAGCTCAGCTTTTTGAGATAAAATTGTGCCACATCTCTCAGAAGACTAATTAAAATTTACCGTAGTAGTTCGCCCTTTTAATAATACTGTTGTCAGAACGTGGCGGATAAATATCGCACGCTTCCTTAGAATTCCTAAGAATCTACGTACACAAAAAAAAAGCTGGAGGCGTACACGTGACCAACCACCGTGGACCTCACGCATGCTCCGTTTAATACCACAGCTTGACGGCTTGGTTGGTATGTGGGGGGTAGGTAGGTATATTGGCGCCTGCCGTTAAGCTCATGTTGATCCCTTGTACCAAGCTAGAGCCCCTTTATCCGCAGCGATTTGGAGCGTAGATAAAAGCCGCCATGTTGCTACCAGACTTCCGTTTTCAAAAAAATAATAAACGTCTAATAAAACAAAAAATGCGTCACCGCCGACCTGATATCCTCAGAAAATCTGTTGCTGTTAATTAAATCGAAAATTGTTAATTTAATTTAATTTTGTTTGAAAATATGTTTGTAATTTAATGATAAATAAAAAAGAAATATATTTTCAGTAAATGATTATTTATTGTTGCTTCTCTAAAGATATTCTAAATAGGAAATCCAATTTTACAAGTTTTTTTCTATTTGTTAGAATGTTTATCTTCTTTTTGCATTAATTACTTGTGTTTTTTTTAATATAATGCTAAAAATACATAACTTGTTTTTTTTATTAATTTACAGAAATTAATTTATTAATTTTTTTCTCTTAAAAATTACTTTTGCTTTAGCTTTATTCTTTACATCGACAGAATTAATATAAAGAACGTGTTTATATCAAAGAAAAAAAGTGATTTTAAATTAAACAGAGATAATTGTCTTAGAACACATTTATTAGTTTGCAACCAAGAAACTCTAACATATGTCAATGTTTGAAAACGATAACGCATAATCGGCAATACTTTTCATCTCCTGAGAATAGAGGGCTGTCCACACATCGTTATCATTTTCAGCACTTATGAACGTAAGATATGAGAGCGCGGCGATGTTAATTAAACCAGGGTGCTCTGATAGCACGACGATATAGCTTGTCAATAGAAACTCCGGAGTATCATTATATCTTCATACAAAATTATACACGCAAAAATACTAACCAGTTATTCTCTGTTAGTTTTGTTGTAATATTTGCATAATTAAATACCGAAAAGTAATTTTGTGACAAAAAATAATATAAAGATTACTAAAAGATAAAGCAAAAAAAATGATAACGTACAGTAATTATTATCTCTTGTTTTCCAACTCTTTTGGATAACGTTCACTTTTTAGTGACCTGTTAACTAAATGATGAATCTTAAATAACTAAATTAAATTATTATTAACTAGATTAATTAACTATAAATTTACGAATAAGAAATCGTATATATTAGTTTGATACATCCATAATAAAGCTGTCTACATTTCTCTCGGGTTCGGAATGGAAGGTGTGAAGGTGACGCCCTAGCGGCTTCACTATAATGCCAGTGGAAGCGCTAAAGGCTTCGACACGCGCTGAAGTCGTTATACCTCACCGCACATAAATAATTAATGACCATTTACTAGCGGTTATAAATGCGGCTTGCACCCCGGTTTAGTGAAAATGACTTCGGTGTGGTGGGAATATTCACGCGTCGTGAACTTACACAGTATTCAAAGCATTCTGCAACACGAATAAACGTGTGCTGCAATTGTATGTACAACGCGCATATTGCAATGATTAAGGTAAATTTTAAGTAATTTCTATGTGTAAAAGTATCGATCGAAGAAATCACATTAACTTATTCAAATAATTTAATTTCTCATACGTAATGTATAAATATAACAACAGTCATAAATAATTGACATTTCCGATCGAAAAATTTGTCCAAAATACTTTAACATTTGTACGAGATGAATCTCGCGCACATTACGGTAATAAAATTCTCCCACACGCCGTCCGGATCGCAGGCAAAGGCATTTCATGTTCCGCATGAAATAAATATCGAGTTGAATTTGTTATGAAGGCAGCCGGGCATGTATCGCGGATTGTGTTTATCGAGCCTGTTGATCTGGTTTTTGGGGTACGATTGATTTATGGCGAGAAAAAAATATTGTACACCACCCTGACAAATAATTTTTTTTAACTTATAGGCTATCTAAATTAATAAAAAAGATATTATTACATACTATAAAGAAGACTATATCATTTAAAAGAAATAAAGTTAGTTTTTGTTTATTAAATAATTACTTAAAAAATTAAATTAAATAAAATTAAAATTTTTTAATTTTAGATATTTATTGTTCTTTAAGTATGCATTTTTGTTTCTATCTCGATAAGCTTTGCCTGCAATAAAATATCAATATCCATTCGGGAAAACTAATCGACCGAAAATAAAGGTCACTACAATATTTTCTCTTCTGTGAGCAATTTATTTATAGTTTAGACAGTTTGTAAAATATGGATATGCAGAAAAACTCATCCAAAAGGATCATTCGTTAGAGTCAAAATGTAATATACATTATTGATGTTTAAATACTGTTAATAAATATTTCCAGATCAAATCAACACCAGCGATTTGATTCATATCTCCTAACTTATTTTTTCACAGCAGCTATTTAAATTCCAAAAAAATGTTTTAACTATTAAATAACATTCAATAACACATTTAATAACATAGCTATAATAATTATGCACATTGTTCATACAACTACAAGATTACATAGTTTATAATAATATTGCTTGTACAGAAGTATCATAATGCATATGCATGTAAAAATTAATTATTTTTTAATCACTCAATTAATTCTCACAGGTCCTTCTTTTTTGTTGAATAAAAAAGTAAAATAGTTGCGTGTGACGCATTTATTAAAATTATTTAATCATATAAAAATCTGAAACTTGCATTGATATAAGTAGGATATTTTTCCAAATATTCTTCGAAGTAGAATAATCATTCAAAATTCATTCGAAAGAATATGGTATAAAACACGCTGGAAGCAAAGACGATAAATTAAAAATGCGCAGGACAGTATGTTGGAACGCATGAATCAATGAAACCAGCGATACTTACCGAGAAGCTTTACGATACACGTGCGAGCGTCTGACCGTCTGAAATCCCCTCTGTCACTGCCTCCCAGCGATCGTTTATATGGACCCCTCTGGGCCAAGGTGTACGTCGCATGAGCCGCAGTCACGTGGCTGTCACGTGCCAGAGATTACTAATTATGCCCCAAGAACGATCATAATATCCTGAGCCCAGTGGGCACACTAGATAGATACAGTTAATATCTGGCACGGCAAACATCGCTCCTATTCACGGCTCCGGCGTATGAATAAAGTTTCTCGCCTAAGGGAGTCGTGGATATTTGATTTTCGCACATAAGAAACGAGGATTTATGAGGGCCTTAAAGAAATTCTTAAGAAAAGCGTCAGCGAGACGGTGATATTTAGATTCAGTGATATTTAAGTAGATGTAGAAAGACGACGTATACTATACGATGGCATTTAAGTACATTTGAATATCACATTCAAAGATTAGACGTTTCCACTTATCAGTGGAAGAATTTGATTTGTATTTGATTGATAAATAAAATTTTTATTTAATTAAAATTAACTTGTAAAGTTCTGATTTAAAGCTTAATTCACAAGACCGTTCTCAGTGTAAAATCATTTATATAATTAGATAATATAGTAAATATTTGTTCTCTCAATAATTGTTTCTTTGCGAAAGAATCGAGTCTATAAATTCATCGAAAAAAATATACAAAATATTTTTTTTTGAATATGGGATACACGTTCTATGTATATTTCGTACGTAAACTGCCGATATTTTACGCATTTGCAATCGCTCGTGAAATACAAATGTTTTTCGACAGCGACTTTGTTTAAAACGTTTAGCGATGAAACAGTACATATTTTTTTCGCGAAAACAAATTTGCACGCGTCGCAAATTTACGCCTTTTTTTAACGAACGGAGCGACCCATAAAAAATCGCCTACGTTCAATCTCGTAGTTTGCGTAACGCGTATGCAGACCGGATATGAATCGAGAGCGTGGTCTAGCGTGATCTGGGCAAAGAATAATATTTATATGCTACTTTCCCATATTTGGATGTCGCCTTCGAAAAACAGCGAAGATCGATATTGCTATTTATCATCCTTTTTTGATCAAGCGTTGTTCGCATATTGCGTCAAACGCGAAAGCTGCATGACAGTGATTTTAACTGCACATACTTATGTGTATATATATATATATATATATAATGCCGCAGAGAAGCGCAAAACTTTTGCGAAAGCAAAAGTTTAAAATAAAGTTTTATGAAGTCCGTAAGACTTTGATTTTTGTTACAAATTTTTTTCTCTCTCTTTTTCTACGCTATTAATATTACACATTATACATATGCTGCTCGAGAACTGTGCAATCGTGAATTCAAGTCAAAATTAAAATCAGAGATTTCGAAATTCTATATACAGTTAACTTTATTTAGTTCTTAACAACACGACTTTTGTACATTTCTCAAAAGTCAAACTGTGCACATTTTATTTTGTCGTCAATGAGATGGAGAGATACGCGCCGGACAGATGAACATCGTGAAACGATTTCGCCGGACCAATCTGTCGATTCTGGCTTTCGACTGGGATTTCCCATGGATGTCGGTGCCACGTGACTCGTGTCAATAGGACGCACTTGATAGTACCCGTTGGGACTGACTGGCAAACGGCCGCGATGTCTTTCCGGGTTCGCCGCAGCGTCGCAAACGAGAGAACGAGTATTTGCAAAGTGGCCAAGTTTCCGAAATTAGCAACGACGCGGCCGAGAAAACAGGGGTGGAACACGCGTACAAACCTGGGAATATTTTCCCAAGCAAATAAACGCAGCGGACGAGAATTTACGCAGCGCGGAATGAAATGTCGTCGAGATCAGGGAAATAATAAATATTCCGCCAGCCTAGACGGAATGAACTCTTTAGCGACTCGTATTATTCATTAAATGTGTAAAATTAGAGGCCGGTTATTCTTCGGCAATATCTTGGCTACGAGCCAATAATTCGTGTACAAATAAATCAATTCCGGATTCAAAGGAAAAAAAAAATCTATAAAACTGT